TTCTGCTGCGAAGACCCAAAAGGTTGCGGACTTTGAACAACAGGAATGTCCGGGGGCTGGGTTTGAATCATTGAGGATCCTCTCTGTTCAGGCACTTTCATCCTCAAGCTTGACCTTGGAACAGGCAGTAGCTGCGGGAAGGGGGATTCTGACACCAAAGGTTGCAGGATATACTCCTGACCCACTGCAGCTTCAAGTGAGGGAATAGGAACACATTTGCCTGATACATTCATGCCACCCGACATGAATTCAATCACCTTAGATTCAATTAGGTCCTGAACCTTATGCTTAAAAGCTTTACAGTTCGCGGCGTTATGCCCCAGTGCCCCAGAGTGGAAGTTGCAATGGGCACCTGCATCATAACCTGGTGGTGGCTCACCGATAAGTGGAAACATAGTCCGAAGTTTAACCAATCGAAGTTGAAGCAAGAGTTGCAACAACTGAGCATAAGTCATAGGGATCTGGTTGAAGATTTTGTCGGACTGCTTCGTCCTTTGACCATTCCTTCTAATCCTGGGATTGGCTTGAGGAACAAGAGGTGGTTGCTGACACAAGACTTTTGGAACCTCCGGTGGTGCAGAAGATTTATGACGCACATTACGCTCTGGTATAGGTTCCACAGACAGAGCTGGAACAAGCATCTTGGCGGCAGCTTCAGGCATTTGATCACCCTCTTTTCTAAGCACATTCCTTATCACTTCCATGATCAAGCCCATCTGAATTTTCAGTTGATTATTCTCCTCTCTGGGTGCATCCTGATCCAAGCGCAACGCTTGCATCTTCGCCACAAACTGCCCCAACTGGCTCTGAACTTCCCTTAGTTCTTCTTGAATCTGTTCCATGGTCGTCTCTGTTGGTTTCTTTTGGTGGAATACTGGTGAATGGTTGGATCTTCAATTCTGGAACAAACCGAATGGAGAACCACGTGAAGCAATAATGTCCACAGAAATAGAACACCCCTATGCAAATGAAGAATGATGCAATATGCAAGACATGTAGAGGAATGCAAATGAATATGCAAATGCAACAGGGGATCAAACGTTGTTATGTTGTTGATTGTGATGGACCAGCGCTTCGCCTTGAAACTATACAACATTAGTACAAGGATCCCACTGTAACTGTTCATACTGACAAACGGGTAGGATGAAGGTCAAAGTTTCCTGCAAGACAGCACAACGAGATATCTCTCCCCTCGGGCGGGCAATCTACCGGTTTATAAGAGGGTATTCCAAAGGCTTTTAAAACAAAGTCCCATGCACTAACCCTCAAAAGTTTTCCATCAGAACGACTACTCGTAAGACGGTAATCCCTTCAAAGGATGAACACAGAGTTATGTTTTAGGAACCTTCGGAATAAGGTTCTACAAAAGGTCCTCAGAATCATGGAATCCCACGTAGAAAATAAAGCGCCGTTACGACTACACGTAAGACATAATTGTTCCAACGGGGTCTCATCTGAGCGGTGGAATTCGATCCAACTCAACGAGTGCTACGTCTCGCAAATCAGAAAGAAACCACCTCTTAATCTTAGTGTATACTCGAAAGCTCGGGTAGAAAGCTTTATCTTTACAACCCATCCTAATAAACCCAACAAGTTAGAAAGGAACACAAAAAAAAATGAATAGAAAAAACAAATAAAGCACAAATGCGACGAACAAAATAGGCGTGGCTTGCTGGTATTCCCCAGCAGAGTCGCCAGCTGTCGCTACTCGAAAAATGCATCGCACAACGACGGGGAGGCGAAAAAAGATAGATAGAAGAGTCGCCACCGAACTTTATTTATCCCATAAGGGGAAGGAAAATATCGAGAAAACCTTAAGAAACGAATGGATAAGATGGTCTCGTAACCAAGAACGGGTTCGGAAGCCGGTTATGCGAGGGGAAGGGATTAGCACCCCTCGCATCCATCGTACTCGATGGGAACCTTTTGTTTGTCGATGTGTGAATTTATTTGCTTAAATAATATGTTATAAGAAGTGTTCCACAGGGTAAAAGAAGGGTTAGAAACAGGAAAGTTAGGAGGAAAGAGATAACGGGAAAAAAAAGAAAGAACAGACTCGGTAGGACTTCGCATTCCTATGCCTACGTATTCTCAATAGATGTGAGAAATTCAGAGTCGACGTAGTTCGGGGAACTACAGATATTGGGGGGAAAGTGCTCACCAAGACATCGTCGTCTTGTGCCTACGTATTCTCATCTGGCATGAAAAATCAGAGCAGCCGTAGTTCGGCCTACGGTTTGTTGATTTTTTTATAGATGATGTTATCGTGCGCGTTCTAGCATTTTAGGTGTTTTGTTGCTCGCTCGTTGGAGACTTAGGCGTTACCTGTTTGCGGTAGAACGGACGTAACATATCCTTTTTGAAACATTAGGTTTTCACCACGCGAGGCAAGAAGTCACGTTTGATTGATTGAATTGTTTTTTTGGGGCGAGACATGTCCTTGGATAGTAACCCCTACGGGTAGTATCCAATTCTTTATCTCAAAGTTTTTGTTATGAAAAGGTGTGGTGAACGAGGCGTCTTTGTATTGAAAGACGAGCGTCGAAACCACCCTCACTACAGTGGGCATCCCAACGCTCGGAGAAGAAGAGGTCTACACCTAATCCGCTCTCTTTAATTCAATGCGAAGAGAACTTAATTCTCTTATTAAAGTGTTTTTGGTTTTGAATGGTAAGTGCCTTGTGACAGAGAACCCTACGGTAAACGTCAGCACTCGGGATAGGAGAAGGCCTACGCCTAACCACTCCACGACCATTCAAGTTTTTGTTATAAAAAGAAGTTTGAAAATGCACTCGGTGCGGAACCGAGGTTTTAGGTGATAAGGGATTGAAAATGTCTTCATATTGAAAGACGAGTGTCGAAACCACCCTCACTACAGTGGGCATCCCAATACTCGGAGAAGAAGAGGTCTACACCCAATCCGCTCTCTTTAATTCAATGCGAAGAGAACTTCATTCTCTTATTAAAGTGTTTTTGGTTTTGAATGGTAAGTGCCTTGTGACAGAGAACCCTACGGTAAACGTCAGCACTCGGGATAGGAGAAGGCCTACGCCTAACCACTCCACGACAATTCAAGTTTTTGTTATAAAAAGAAGTTTGCAAATGCACTCGGTGCGGAACCGGGGTTTTAGGTGTGAAAGGTTACGGAATGAAGTTGTGAAAGGAGAGGTGATGGAAGAAGTCGCGTCTTCGTATTGAAAGACGAGTGTCGAGACCACCCTCACTACAGTGGGCATCCCAACACTCGGAGAAGAAGAGGTCTACACCCAATCCGCTCTTTTTAATTCAATACAAAGAGAATTTGATTTTAAAGATGGTTGTGAAAATGGACACGGTACGGGACCGAGGTTTTAGGAGAGAAGGGATTGAAAACGTCTTCATATTGAAAGACGAGTGTCGAAACCACCCTCACTACAGTGGGCATCCCAATACTCTGAGAAGAAGAGGTCTACACCCAATCTACTCTTTTTAATTCAATACAAAGAATTTATTTGTTTGAAAATGTTTTCGAGGATACACTCGGTACGGGACCGAGGTTTTAGGAGGAAAAACGTTGAAAAGAAATGGTCTCAGATCCAACGTCATTTATCAATAGTTTGACTTAATAACGGTTTACGGAGGTCTCGTCATCGACCAAAAAAGAGGAAATTGGAATAAAATGTCCAATGATAAATAGAATCTAATCTTTTAAACTATGGAAACTCTAAAACTTAAATTAAGGCTAATCCTAATGTAATTCTAAATTAAAGTTAAATCCTACAATTTAAAGCTAAAACTAAAGTTAAACAATATTCTAATATCACTAAACCTAATTTAAATAAATAAATAAGATCTAACTAAAGTAAAATTAAAAGAGAAAGGTTAAGGAATATACCGGTGGGATCAGCCGTATGTGAATCATAATGGGTTTCAAACCCGTTCATCATCACATCGCTCAAAAAACGGGGGGTGTCACCAGCTATATTGAAAGGAAATGGCAAAGCCCACTTACCTTAAAGCCAAATCACTCTTAGAACAAACTGAAAAGGGGAAAAAAGAAGTTTGGTTATCAACATCGCATCACCATCGATTGCACCAGAGAAAACGGACGACGATCCTTCTTTCTTGCCCACTCAATGCTTCAATTCCGTCAACCTCGCTCATTCAAGTCCATTTAAAATAAGCCTCGCTCGTGATGGATTTCGTCCGTCTTACTGCGTTCAAGATTCGTTTCATCTGAGCTTTCTCGCGTGGATTCGCTTTCCTCAGGTTTGAGTGGTCTTGCTCTTGCTTTTTGTCAAACTCTGATTCTTTCTATCATGGCTCTCACATTCACACAGTGGTTTCGATTAACACTGCGGCTGTCTGGAAAGAATTATGTGGCGGCGACGCGATGAATTTTTTTTTTAGGTTGCTGTTATGAGTCATGTTGAGTGATGTGTGGAAAGAACAGAGGTTGGATTCCATGAAGTTTATTGTTGAGTTGTCAATGAAAAACAGAGGAAGTGTGTTGTATCCAAAGTTGTAGCTGCTGTGATGGGGTTATATGCTGATGGAAATTTTGATCTTTTGCAGAATTGGTTGTTATGCAGGTGTTGATGGTGGTTGTTTCCTTGGAATTCAAATCATATGATCTGTCTTCCTTGTAGAACTCGGAAGCTGTAACAGCCATTCCAATAACCACTTTGCCAGTGTATCCGGCTTTGTCAATGGCAGATTTTAGCAACTCCAAACCTTCCTTGTTTTCCTGAATGTTAGGGGCAAAACCAACTTCCTTACCAACATTTACTGCATCTTGACCATACTTCTTCTCAATCACAACCTTCAAATGGTGATAGACTCCCACACCCATCATCATGGATTCCTTGAAAGAGGAGTCTCCCACAGGAAGAACCATAAACTCCTGCAATGTATGCAATATGCTTGTAAAGAGGGATTTTTAGGACTCCAGCACCAGCTTTGCACGCTGCAAAAGACACTGCCAATATGGTGTTTGCCCCAAGCTTTTGTTTGCACCAACCTCACTCGTTAATAATTCCATCAAGCTGTTGAACCATGAAGTTGTCAATCTCAGTCTGCTTAGTTGGGTCCTTTCTGATTAATGCTGGGACAATGACGGTGTTCACACTGTCAACAACCCTTGATACACCTTTTTCGAGATAGTCAGATCCTCCATCTCTTAACTCAAGAGCCTCATAAATACCAGGGGATGCACCGCTAGGAACAGCGGCTTTAGCGAAAGTGCCATCAGAGACAGTAATATCGACCCCAATGGTTGGATTGCCACGACTGTCGAAGATGTGTTGTGTGTTATAGTTGTTGTTCCTCTGAGCTACTGTCATCCCATGAAAGCTAAACATACTAACATATGACTTTAGAAATAGAATCCGGTCTGCAGCAATGGAAGCAACATCCAACAGAGCTGGCGGTGTAGACTTAATTGAGAAATTCTATCATAGCAACAATGGTGCATAAGGATTCCTGCAGCAATGAAATCATACAATCCTTCGATTACAAGACGAACTGAGTAGCTTCGGTTCCAAAACACGTCCACGAACCTAAACTTCCTCAACTCTGAAACACAAGAACCAACAGCTTCAATGCCTCTTCCGCTGGTAAGTTCGTAATTGCTCCCACATTAGCTCCTCAATATTCAACGCAGAAACATTACTCGTTAGTTATACGAGTTCTGAGACAGCAACAAGGCGGGGTGCTTTATTCGAAGAAGAGAAAAATGCTATCATCTTTGTCGACAGTATGCTTCTATATCTTCTGTATAAAATACATTTGTCCCTTTGACAGGAGCAGTAACTTCCAAGGTTGATGATCGTTGTTGTTCAGCAGCAGGATGCCATGTGCATAAAGTCTTCCACTTTCATTTCTAAGATCCATGTAAACAGAATGTGAACCATATAGATCAGTGGATAAAATGGTTGGTATAGTGGATTTTCTAGTTTTGAAGTGTGGTGTCGTTGCTGCAGGTTTGTGATTTTTTTACAAGCTGTATGGTACAAAGTTTTGTGGTTTCCTTCATTCAAATGCGTGATTTTCATCTATTTTGCATCAGGTCTTCGTATATTATGGCAACAGGCTGGTGACTTTTTGGAGCAGGTATTGGCTGCAGATGGGTTTATTGTTTTGTAGGTTTTATTGTGTTTCTGCGGAGTAGGCGACTGGTTGCATCGTAGTAGTGGAAGCATTGGCTGCTAATATGTGTTGCATCTGAAAGTTACTACAAGTTTTATGTAATGGTGTGGGAACGTGCGATGTAGAATGGAGGCTTGTAGCAGATGCAGAATGTAGGGTGTAGTTTGGAGGCTTGTAGCAGCGTAACTTTGGTGATGGTATCGAAGGCGGAGATAAGGAGTTGAAAAGGATTTCAGAGGGAAATCGGAAGGATGTAAGGTTAATGACGATGTGTTTAAATGGTTGAAGAATAGTTTCAAAGATGGATGCGAATGGCAACAACTTGTTGCGATGAAGATATTGACGGTAACGACAATGAAGCTTCTACGGCACGACTCTTGAAGTAAGACTCTTACACTGTTTTTCTGAGTTATGTAGTGATATTCACTTCTTTTTCTTCTTCTGTCTGGTACTCTGTTATTTGCAGTGGGGTTAAGTTAGAAGGATGAAGGTGGTTGGTTTAGATGGGTAGAGTTGATCGGGAGTGGTGTTTAATGGTTTGAGGTTGAAGTTGGGCGGTGGAGTGTGTTTGATGGAAGTTTCTGGATTTGAGCGGTTGAAGAAAGGGGATTTTCGGTCGAAGAGACGGGTTTACAGCGGCGTTGGAATCGTGAGTGGGTGTCTCTTGTTGTTGTGTTTGTTTTCATGGTTCATATGAGTTTTGTACAGCTGATGATGTTCGGCGGTGGTTTCAAAAATGGAGGTTGGAGGAGGTTTTACGAAGGTTGAAGATGCTACCATGGAAGTTTTGTTTGAAGTTTTTTTACAGGTTGAGGTCAGATATTGTTGGAAGATTTTGAGGGTATGAAAATGGTGGACAAAGTGTGTTTTATGTGGTCAGTGAGATTGAAGTTCGAAGGCTTTTATGAGGAAAGGTTGAACAGGGTTGGCGGATGTTGTGAATCTGAAGACAGATATGAAAACGGAAGGAGAGAGAGGCTACCATTGAGTCAGATGGGTTTGAAGGATGGTTACCTCATAGGCTGCGAAGTTGGTGTGATTTGTTTATTACCGTCACAGACCCGGAGCTTTTGCTGTCAGCATAATAGTTGTTGAAGTTTCAAGAACAGGGCAAATCATATTCACTTCGCCTCTCAAGCCATTGTCGCTACTGCGAAAATCGGCGCTGGCTGACAGGAGAGTCGCCACCGTGTGTTATTTATCCCAACGGAGGGAAAGGAAACGCTCGAAGTAAACCTCGCAAAAAACGGGAAAGGTATGGTCATCGCAACCAAAACCTGGGTTCGGGAGTCGGTTACGCAAGGGGAAGGTATTAGCACCCCTCACGTCCGTCGTACTCGACGGGATCCACGCTTGCTTGGGTTGTCTAAAGGATGCAAAAACAATCTATCTACGGCTGCTAAATCTAAACGGAAGGGAATTGACTCGATAGAGCGTCGCACTCTATGCCTACGTATTCTCAAGAGAGAAAGTCAGAGTCAACGTAGTTCGGGACTACGGGGAAATTGGCTCGCCAAGACTTCGCGTCTTGTGCCTACGTACTTCCACACAGCATGGAAGATCAGAGCTTACATAGTTGAGGCTAACTACGGCTAGGTTGGGTGTTCTCACACAGCAGTGAGAAATTAATCTGGTTTTACAGGTACGGGAACCTATAGGAAAAACTATGGTCTGGTCTCAAATGCCCTCGGGCAAGAGAAAAGGATAACAATCAGTCGTCAGCGGGAAAGTCTCGATCGCACAGCAGCGAGAGAACAAAAGGTTAGTGATTAGTGTGCTCGCTAGGATATCGCATCCTATGCCTACATATTCTCGTCTGGTACGAGAAATCAGAGCAGCTGTAGTTCGGCTACTTTCGGGACCACAGCTCAAATCTCGTTTTATTAACATTCTGAAAAATGGCTACAATGATTGAGAACTGAATCATAAACTCCTAAAAACCCTATCCTATCCATCTATCATGGAAAATCAATCAAATGGAAAATAGTCCCCTAACAAGTGGACTTCTAAAACTACCTCTAAAAGTGTGAAATGAACTCCTATGAAAAATATCTATTCTAAAAAATATTGAATCTACAAAGTAATATTTTTTACTATTTCTTTACTATTTTTCTTCTATTCTTCTTCCTCTTTTTTTTCAATATTCTTTTCCATATATTTTTTTATTCTTCTTCTTTTTCTCAATTTTTCCTCAATATTATTTTTCAAAATATTCTTTTTCTCCTTTTTTCAAATATTCTTTTCTTCTTTTTTCAATATTCTTTTTCTTCTTTTTTCAAATATTCTTTTCTTCTTTTTTCAATATTCTTTTTCTTCTTTTTTCCAATATCTCCAAACAAAAGAAAAGAAAAAAAGAAATAATAAAAAGCAAAGAAAAATACAAGGGAGGCTTAAACAGCAGCCAGGGGGTACAGCAGAAAAAAAAGCCAAACAGAACTGGGCCCAGCCCATTACAAGCCAATAGCCAAACAAAAAAACGGAGGGGGTGCAGAAGTGAAACAGGGGGTAGTCCAGAAAGCTTCGTTGGGCTTAGAGGCCCACTAGCCACGTGAATCCACCATCCATCTTCAGCAAACCCTAATTCATCCATCTTCCGTCTTTCACTGTTCACAGTTGCGCCTCACAACCCTTTCTCCTTCTGATACTCTCTCTTGTTCTTCCTCAACCCCAGCTCCCTCTCTTCAATCTATCTCCACCTCACTCTCTCATCATTCACATCTCCACCCCAAAATCTTTATGAACCTCGTAATGGCCAATGAAGTACCAACAACCAACAATAGATGCGCACGGATCCATGGTGTAACAATCAGAGGAATTTCTTGAAGAACTCAAGATCTATATTCATGACGAAGATTAAGCGGTGACGAAGATCAGAGAAAACTCACAAAGATAGATGGAGGTCTACGTTTGCGGATGTTCCTGGAGATGTTAGAAGCATTGAAGATTTCTTGTGGTCTTGACGAGGAAAATTCTGGAAATCTTCTGGAGTTCTACGAACATGCATGTGACGCTCTTGATGATGTTCGTTGAAGCTGACAAACTGAGATGAAGTTCGTTCTTGAAGTTTCTTTTCTGGAGATGGATGACTAGATGATGATTCTTGGAAGAACTTGTTAGAAGATCTTGAAGAGAGTTCTGGGGATTTTCTTGAAGGTCATTGATGAACCTGATGAATCTGGATGACTTCTGTGAAGCGTTTGGAAGGACGTTGAGGATTGATGATGAACGGAGATGATTGTTAGAAAAGGTTGAAGATCCATGATGTTGGACGAATTTGGGTTGAAGATCGCTGATGGATTTGGTGAGAAGAACACACACGATGATTATTGATGCATGAAGAATCTGGAAATAACGGTTATTGTTGATGAATTTCTGGGCGAAATTGATGGAGGAAGATGATGAATGCAGGTGGAAGTTGTTGAGAAGGAAAGTTGGAAGAGGATGAAGATTGGAAGATTTCTGAGTTTTTTCCAGTTTCCGGCGGGTTAGACGGCGGCCGAAATTGGTTGTGGGTTGGTTACGGTGGCCGGAAGTTGGAGGTTGTGGTGGTTGCATGGCCGCCGACCATGCAACCGGGGAGGCTCAGGTGACGCCAAGTGTGAGTGGAGAAGCCTGCATGAGGCACACGTGGAGGGGAGAGAGAGTTAGTGGGGGTTAGGTGTCAGGATTCTGGGGCATGCAATAAATGTGGTGGACCCTTTTGAAGATAACACGTGTGATCAGCATATATACGACACCTGGCAATGATATCTGGACTGATACATTGGGCCTCCAATATCCAAGCTGGCCCACGAAAATACTGGCTGAAACTGATTAAAAAAAGCTGATGAATTAAAATGGACTCAAATGGATTAAAGACTAAAAATTACACTAATTAAAACCTAATTAATCTAATAAATCCTAATTAACAGCTAAACAAATGATTAAGACCTAATAATTCCAATTAATTTCTAAACTAATAAAACTCTAATAATTCCACTAATCTAAAAACTAAACTAAAAAACTCTAATAATTCTCTATTTAAAATTTTATTAAATTTCTATTAAATCCCTAATAAACCTATATTACTTATATCTAAACTATTATATCCTATAAAAGAAAATCTATTATTAATAAAAGAAAAATCTATATTATTCTATTAAAAAAATGATTAATGTTTTCACAAAAGAAACTATTAATTTCTAAAAAAGTTTTA